TCTCTCACTCTCTCTCTCTGGTGAACACATGTGCTCTCTGGTAAATTAAAAAAACAAATAAACAAACAAAAAAGCTTAATGTTAAGCTTCATCCTCCAATTTCTAAATGACTTAAAATACTGGGTCATTAGAAAAGTCATGAAATATTTTCCTATGCAAAAATGCATCAAGACATTTCTGACAACACAGTATTTTATACCAATATTGGAATTCAGCATAAAAGAATATTTGGTTCAATACCAAAATGGGTTATTTCCAGTTAACTATAGTATTAATTAAGGACTTCCAGGCACTCTGGTATCTTCATATATTTTATTAAAGTAAACAAGACCATGATCATTTATAGAATACCCACTATACTTGACTCTGGGGATACACAGATAAATAAGAAGGCATGGTCCATCTTCCATGAAGCCCATATCAGGAAAGTAAACACAAGTCAACAAGTATTTACTAAATGACTCTACTAAAAACAGTGATTCAGGTATAGCAGGTGGCATAGTGGTCACTGGACTCCCACATGGCTGACCATGGTTCAAGTCCCAGACCTGAGGTCTTGCTTCCTCACTTTCTGTGTCTCTCTGGTGAGTTTCCATGCCCTGTACCAAATTTTAAAATAATAATAAATAAAATTTAAAATAAATAATTCTAAAAACAAACAAAAAAGCGTTAAGGGATGCAAAAAATTCACTCCATCTCCAGCAAGGACTACAGAACTCTTGCATTTGAGACCCATTTTAAAAAAAAAGATGCTAAAATGGTGGAAAAGATTATTACGTGTGTATAAGATTACCTTCTTGATTAATATCAAGGTTAGATACACAATAACCCAAAACCCTCAAACTACAAACCTCTTAGGAGTTATATAAACTATTTAGATGAATCACATGAATAGAGATTAAAAAGTGAAAAATAATGACTAAATTCAAACAGGAAAGTTATGTTTCAACTGATATTTCCTAACTTTAAATAATTTGTAACTATGGGGACCAGCAGTTAGCGTAATGGCTAGGTCGCTGGACTCCCATGTAGTCAACCACAGCTCGAGTCCTGGATCCGGTGGCTTAAACTCACGCCAGGGCATGTGCGTGCATGCCCAAGGTCCGAGAGGAGAGCGGAGGAGAAGGGATTGTGGCTTGACCATTTCCCCCCCCCATTCCCCCCGCCCCCAAGGGTGGTGATTTCTCGCTTTCTGTCTCTCTTTCTCTCTCTGGCGAGTGCATGCACCCTATAGCAAAAACATCTAAAAAAAAAAATACTGTAATGTTTATCTAATGGGTCCAAATCAAACTAAGGCATATACTCAAAGCAGAAAAAAAAAATAGCAATTTCTTAGCTTTTTAAGATATAAACAGGGGCTGGCAGGTCCTGTAGTGGTTGAGACACTGGACTCCCATATGGCAGACGGTGGTTCGAGTCCCAGACCTGGTGGCTTGCTTTCTCACTTTTCCTCTCTGTCTCTCTCTGATCAAATCAAAATAAATACATAAAGTTAAAATAAAATCATTCTTAAAAAAGATATCATAATCAAAACAAATTTTGGTACAAGACAATCCATTGGGAGGTTTGAATGATCTAGTTAAGTGTTTAGTTAATTATGACAACTAGTTCTATTCAGTTCCTGCTATAATCCCTTTGTTAAACTGTCTGATTCTTAAATTTCTCTTGGTAATAGAATGGGGTTGGATTATATTGTTAATGTCCCTTACAAACAGAAAGTTCTGAACTGCTGTGGTTGATGAGATTAAATCATCAACATGAATTCAAGAGAGGAGTAAAGCAGCCATCTTAACCTCTCAAACTGGTAATGCTATAAAACTCACTGCTTCCTACTTTATCTCAATATCATGCTTCAGATTTTATTTACGTAGTCATTGCTTTCAAGCCTGTCAAAGAGCGTTTGATCATTCAAAAAATACTCCTTCGACTCTCAATAATAAAACTGCTTCATTACAGTATGGGAATATGTATAATAAAAGTAAATAAGAGCTGAGACTATTCCACATCAGATCTGGAATTCACTAATTAAAATTCAATATTGTACTTGGTATGTGGGTTCCTACACGAAACTCCTGTCATGGTTAAAGCGGGAGGTTAAACAGGTTAATAGAATCCAATAAAAAGGCTCTATCGAATTATAGTGAACTTCTTTTCAGCAGCTCCTTTACCTGGCCACTGTGTTAGGCGTTAGTGTAATGGCTAGGTCGCTGGACTCCCATGTAGTCAACCACAGCTCGAGTCCTGGATCCGGTGGCTTAAACTCACGCCAGGGCATGTGCGTGCATGCCCAAGGTCCGAGAGGAGAGCGGAGGAGAAGGGATTGTGGCTTGACCATTTCCCCCCCCCATTCCCCCCGCCCCCAAGGGTGGTGATTTCTCGCTTTCTGTCTCTCTTTCTCTCTCTGGCGAGTGCATGCACCCTATAGCAAAAACATCTAAAAAAAAAAATACTGTAATGTTTATCTAATGGGTCCAAATCAAACTAAGGCATATACTCAAAGCAGAAAAAAAAAATAGCAATTTCTTAGCTTTTTAAGATATAAACAGGGGCTGGCAGGTCCTGTAGTGGTTGAGACACTGGACTCCCATATGGCAGACGGTGGTTCGAGTCCCAGACCTGGTGGCTTGCTTTCTCACTTTTCCTCTCTGTCTCTCTCTGATCAAATCAAAATAAATACATAAAGTTAAAATAAAATCATTCTTAAAAAAGATATCATAATCAAAACAAATTTTGGTACAAGACAATCCATTGGGAGGTTTGAATGATCTAGTTAAGTGTTTAGTTAATTATGACAACTAGTTCTATTCAGTTCCTGCTATAATCCCTTTGTTAAACTGTCTGATTCTTAAATTTCTCTTGGTAATAGAATGGGGTTGGATTATATTGTTAATGTCCCTTACAAACAGAAAGTTCTGAACTGCTGTGGTTGATGAGATTAAATCATCAACATGAATTCAAGAGAGGAGTAAAGCAGCCATCTTAACCTCTCAAACTGGTAATGCTATAAAACTCACTGCTTCCTACTTTATCTCAATATCATGCTTCAGATTTTATTTACGTAGTCATTGCTTTCAAGCCTGTCAAAGAGCGTTTGATCATTCAAAAAATACTCCTTCGACTCTCAATAATAAAACTGCTTCATTACAGTATGGGAATATGTATAATAAAAGTAAATAAGAGCTGAGACTATTCCACATCAGATCTGGAATTCACTAATTAAAATTCAATATTGTACTTGGTATGTGGGTTCCTACACGAAACTCCTGTCATGGTTAAAGCGGGAGGTTAAACAGGTTAATAGAATCCAATAAAAAGGCTCTATCGAATTATAGTGAACTTCTTTTCAGCAGCTCCTTTACCTGGCCACTGTGTTAGGCTTCAAAATCAACTTCAGGGGTAGCATCAAATAACGCGCCTCATACGGGGGCTGCAGACTGAAACCCATGTCGTTTGGAAAATCACTGTCAACTCACGCTTTCCATTTCAAACTGCGATGCAGGTGGAGGAAAAACTGTGAAGGCTCCTCTTTGAACCTCCATTACAGGGCCTCCAGGCACAAACAAGGACTAGCTCAAAGATAACCTAATGCAGTAGAGTTCGCAGAAGACGCTAAAAAGTGCACTTGGGAAGGGGACAAACTACCTCGGGACTAAGGGTGGAATTCCTGTGCTATGCAACATCGCCGCTGGGTACACTGCTGGATTTACCAGCCTGAAATGAGAGAACTCTTCCACCAGAACAGACGCGTAGTCTGGATCCCAGCGAAAATAAGAACAGGCCGAATCCTCAGACCCGGGCGAGGGGGCACAGAGAGGTTTTCGGTCCCTGCGGACAGCAGGGAGTGGGGCGCTGGGGAGGTCGGGAAAGGGAGGGCGAGGACCCGGCCCAGCGCGAAGGGCTCCTACAAGGCCGGGGCTGTGCGCGGCCCCCTCCGGCGGCCAAGAGGTCCACGTGGAGCTCCCCCCACTCCCGCCAGCCCCCTTCTCCCCGCGCCCGGGCACAGCGCACCCGCCGGCCTCGCAGGCCACGCGAGGAAGCGGCGCGCCCGGCCGCAGCAAGCAACCACCCACGACGTCCGGACACTAAGGACATGAAGTTAGAAAAAGCCAGTTGCAGGACGAGTGACACGCCGCGGCCTAGACGCCGCCCTCCGCGCGGGGCAGAGGCGCAGCCAGTGCAGCGCGTGCGCCCGG